CCATGCTGGGTGGGAAGCACCTCTGTAGTCCTAACTAGTTTCTAAAACCCAGTTCTCCGCTGGTACCCCCCTCCCCGGGGACAGGAGGCAAGGTGTCCAGAAAACTCCCCCCAGTCACCCCAGAGGCTGGACCGCCTGCCTTCCTGGGCTTCAGGTTTACAGCGCGCTTCACAGGGCAGCGCGCTCTCGTTCCTGTTCTCCGCAGAAAGCTCTGGATGGCGGATCCCTTCTCCAGACCTGGAACCAGAGGACTAGAGAGGTGACCCTTCGAAGGACGTCCTGGGACCCCAACGCAGTCCTCAGGGACCCTCGACGCCTCAAGTAACCGAGCTGCAAGACGAGCACCTCGTGATACCCGCCGGGCTCCAGGCTGAGACCCAAGCGGGACTTCCCTGTGAGCCTTGGCTTCCTCCTCTGTCCAAGCAAACTGGTTGAGATTCCTTGCTCGGCTGGCTGCAAGCCTTAGAAACCTGCCCTACCTGGGCCCCACGCACCGCAGGTCCGCAGTAGGCTGGCCCAGGCACGCTTATTAAACACGGGCTACAGTTAAGAAGTCCCCCCCATTGTAACTCGACAGGGTGCGAAGTCCTCTGTGCCGCCGGCGCCGCGGGTCCGTGGCGTCCGCGGGGACCCCGCCCCCGCCCCCCGCGCGCGGCCCGAGCCACCCGGTGGGGTTTCGGCGCGCTGACGTGGGCGGATCAAAGAGACTGCCCGCGCCTTATAAAGCAGTTTGGGCGGCCGGCGCCGGAGACCGTGCGGCGCGAGGAAGAGAGCCCGGGCGAGCGGGCGAGCGGGCGAGCGGGCGAGCGCAGGCCCCGACAGCCCGGCGCAGCCCCCTGCAGCCTGAGTCCGCGCTACAGGAGGTCCTCGCGGAACCGGAGCCGGCCGCCGCGCGCCGGGATCCCGGGCGTCGTTCTGCGGCCGCTGCGCGGAGAGGGCGCCCTCGCCGCCTGCCCAGCCCGGAGAGCGCTCGGGGGCCGCTGGGGGCCGCGCTAGCCGCTCCACCGCCGGCCGGGGCAGCGGGGCACTCAGGGCGCGCCCGACGAGCGCCCCAGGAGGTGAGCAGTGGCCGCGGGCAGCGCGCGGCTGCTCAGCGGGGACCTGCTAGGGCGGCGGCGTCCGAGTCCGAGGGCGACGGCGCGACCCCGGAGGGTGCCGACTCGCGGGTAAGCACATCAAGTCCTCCCTCCACACCTCCTCTCTGCGGTTCTCCGAGGAATCCCCTGGAGGAGCGCAGCCTCTGGGGCCTGGGGGGCGCGGGCTTTCCCGGCTCGTATGCCGGAGGTGGGTTGTGCCAATTGTGCGGGCCGCTGCCAGCCTTCCCGGCCCAGTTCCCCCGATTCGACCCTCTCCCTCCCACTCGGCCCGAGAATGAGGTCATGCCCGAGCCATCCCGGGGGTGGGGGACTTGGATCGTGCGGCTGGGCAAGAGGGTGTGTGTGGCGGGGCGGGAGAGGGTGGCCAAAGGCAGAGACCTACGGCAGCTCCTACCAAATTGGGGGTGGGGTGGGGATGGGGGCGGACGCCTCGCTTTGAGACCGACTCCCCGAGGCGGCGGGGGAGGGGGAGAACTGGGACTTTGTTTACAGACCTGAGCTCCAGGCTGGGGGTTGGGGAGGAGGAGAGTCCTGTCCCGGGACCGAGGCACATCTGGAGCCGCCGCGAACATCTGGCTGAGCTCGAGCACGAGCCCCACACCCCCCACCTCCTGGTGCTGAGGTATCTCCGTGACCCTGAGTGTCCTTAGGCTCTCAGGGTCCGGCTCCAAAGGGGTGGCAGGAGGTGCCCCGCGTTCTCCCACCCCACCCTTCCCATTTCCAAAATAACCCGTCTCGCGGGTGACCCGGCGCGTCGTTCGCAGCCTAGCAGACAGATTTCGCAAGACTCCCGGCTGGGGTCAAAGCCGGGTTGTGAGCCCGGCCTAGCTTCGCGTCGCAGGTAACCTTGAAGCGGTCGCTCGGCGTCACCGGCTCGGAGGGTCGGCTCTGCCAGCTGCGCAGCCCGAGGCTTCAGGCCCGGCCCACGCCGACCTTGCGCGCGGCGTGGACACTCGGCCCCGAGCGCGGTGCCCGCTCCCGGCTCAGTGCGAGCTCATCCCGGTAGGGGAGGCCCGGCGTGGCTCCGCCGGCTTGACTCAGAGGGGCGGCCGCCCTAGCGGCGGCGTTTCCAAGGACTTCCAGAGCCCAAGCCTTATAACCACCTGTTGGAGCGGGTTGCTGCTACTGAGCTCACGGAGGGCAGCCCGGGAGGCCACTTCTCTCACCAGCTGCCAGCGGAGTAGCTTGGGCCCTAACCCCAGCGCGGGGAGGAAGGGACAGCTTGTCTCTCCCAAAGGCGCTGCGCTTTGACGCGGGCCCACTACGCGCCTGGCCCCAAGGGAGCTTCTGCGCTGGGGCCTGAAGCAAGGGGTCGAGCAGTTCGGGGCTGACCGCGGCAAGTGGATGTCTTATAGAACGACCAGCGCGGAGAGGGCACTTAGCCTCATCCCATCCCCAGACCGGGACACCAGGGCCCAGGAAGAGGAGGGGACTTGCCCAAAGTCCCACGGCGCGGGAGGCAGCTGCGGATCCCACCTCGAACCCCGGCGTAGCGCCCCCTGGCGGGCCGGGGGCTCCGGGAAGCGAGTGCGCCCTGACTCGCAGGGCGCAGGCTGAGGGTGACCCAGCAGCCCGCGCCGCTGTCCTGGACGCTCTTACACGGGACAGGAATAATCCGCCAGGACTCAGAGGGCCAGGTCAGGCGCTGCCTCTCCCAGCAACATGCAGGGGTGGTGGAGTGAGAAGCCCGGGATCACCGGGCCTCTCAGAAAAAGCCTGGAGTAGCTGTAGGCCTGGGTCCCTGTTTGCTGTGACCAGGGCGGCCCCTCCTCTCTCTGGGAGAGTTGAGCTGGACGCGGATTCCCCGCTGTGAGTCCGCACTCTCCTCCGCCCTCGTGCTCTCCCTTCCTCCTCCCCACTCCGGAATGCAGGGCGCCTGGCGGGGGGGTGGGGGGGAGAGCCCACATTTCGGGACGGGGTGGGGGCGAAAAGAGACTGTGGCTGGAGTTTTGATCCTCTCCCCTCACCCCCCCCCCATTTCCAGCCGATATACTTCTCGTCCTCAGGAGTGTGGCAAACTTTCAGGGCCATAAAGACAAAGGTTTTGGATGCAGGCTGGGTGGAAGGAGGGGGCTCAGTTACACCGAGAACCCCGCTGAGACCCCTAGCCTTGGACTCCGCACGTTTGTAGTGAGCGCCTCCGTGTTAGGCGCCTAGCGGGAGACTGGGAAGGAGGAAAAAGAAACGTAATTCAGGATTTTCTCCCTGCCTTCTGGGTTATGCCGCAAGCCTTCAGAAAACAGTGCGGTTTCAAGTCTGTGTGTGTGCTTAAGGCACACACGTACACGCACACACTACACAGGTATACTACGTAACAGTGGAAACTCAGGCAGAGAGGGGAGCCCAAAGACCCGCAGGCTCCTGGGAGGCTTGAAAGACTTAGGGAGATGTGCGGTCAAGTCCACTCCCTTTTTTCATAGAAGGGGAAACAGCGTGGGAGTGGTGGAGAGCTCGCCCAAACTCACACAGCCAGATGAGAACGCCCCCTTCCCGCTCAAGCGCCCCCTGTAAAGAGGGCGCCTCCTTTTCAAACTCCCCGGGCCCTTTAGAAAGGAATCTCTTTCTTTGTCTCTGCTCCTCCCCAGGGGTGAGGGGCTGGAGAGCTGTGTTTGTCTCCGGGAGAACGCTAGGTGTTGGTAAATTTGGGAGAAGCTGGGAAGGGAGTTAATGAGGTGAGAATGAAGAGAGGGAGGACCAAAAAAAAAGAAGAAGAAGAAGAAGAGGAGGAAGAAGAGGAAGAAAAAGAAAAAAGCCCGAGAAGCGGCCCTGCGGCCTGCGGGCGGGCGGGCCGGGTAACGGTTGCTCCGCGGTCCCAGGACGCCCCCTGGCGGCCAGAGGCGGCTTCGCGCCGGTCCCGTGAGTACTGCTTAGCCTTGGTCAGGCTGTCCCGCCTTGGCTCCGGCCTGGGCACCAGACGACACTCCAAAGGGGGGATGGTGCGCTAGGCGGGGACTTGGAGACTCGGGACCACTGTACAAAGACCTTTGTCATTTCATTTCTCATCCCCCCTTCACTGATGCCCAGAGCAAGCCCCTATTTCCTAGTCTTCTGACATCAGCGAACTCACAGGACATCTGGGAGTAGAACACGGGGCATGGACCTGCCGCTCACTGGATAAACGACGCCCTTCCACATCCCCCGGCCTCAGATTTCTCATCTGTGAGATGGGGGCAGTGATGGTACCTATCTCACAGGGTTGCTGGGAGGAGCAAAAACGATCATGAACTTCCTTTATAAAAGGCGAATTGTGTCTGAATCCCAGATCGAATCACAGTTGTGTCCCTAGTTTACAGAGGAGGTAAACTGAGGCCCAGCGGGGAAGGAGAATTGCCAAGGCCCTCCCTACTCACTAGTAGTTAATATTTTGCAGATAACGCAGATCCTGGGCCCGCCATCTGCCCGCGCGCGCGCCCGGCCTCGGCCCTGATCCCCTTCCTCCTTTCCTTCCCTTCCCTCCCGAGGTCTGTTTGTGCCCGGCTGCTCCCTCTGCCGCGGTCTCTGACCGGCCGTCTCCCTCTCTCTCTCTGTCTCCGGTCCAGTCGCCCCTTTCCCTGCCCGCCGGCAGCCTGGATCCCAGCCTGGGGCCGCGCTAGGTGGACACACCCTCGGCCGCGCTCGGGCGACACCTAATTTGAGCCAGACGCCTGCGGCGTCCTGGGCTATGCGGGGCGGGAGGCGACGCCCGCCGCGCGCTCGGCCTCCCGGGCGGGACCCCTCCTTTGTAATTTGAATAAAACGCCCCCCCCCGGCGGCCCCCGCCCTGCGCGCCGCCTTAACCCGCCGCCTCGGCTCTCCCCGACTGCAGGCGGCGTGCGCGCAGGACGAGCGGCTGTGGCCGCGCGCGGCGGGACTTCGGTGCAGCTCCTCCGGGGTGCGACCCCCGAGCGCGCGTGCCGCGCGACCATGAGGGCGCGGCCGCGGGTCTGCGAGGCGCTCCTCTTCGCCCTGGCGCTCCAGACCGGCGTGTGCTACGGCATCAAATGGCTGTAAGTGGGGACCTCGCGTCTACGCAGTCGGGCTGTGGGACAGGCGGTTGGGGGCAGCGGCTAATGTGAAGGGGTCCCCTTGGGGATCGGGTGAGCGTACCCAGACCCGGGAGCAGAAGTTGGCTTGGGGGTCCTGGGCAAGTCACTCTTCTTTAAGCCTCCTTTTCCTACTCTGTAAAATATTGTCCTTACCTCCCCGAGGGTTGTGAGGCAGGAGCGAGACAGGGCGTGGGGAGCGACAGCACTGCCCGGTCGGTGCGGCTGAGCGTCGCGCAGGACCTCCACCGGGGCAGATGGAAAAAGACAGTGTGGTCAAGGGGCCCAATCGGGAGGGTCTGTGCCCCTGCGCGCCGGCCTGCTCAATATCACGTTTCCTTGTCAGTCTCCTGACCCCTCCACCTGGGTGACCTTGGGGAAGTGTCACTCAACCTCGGGGAGCCTCAGTGTCCTCTGTCAAAGGAGGGAAGGAGTCTCTAGCTCACTCAGATCGGATGAGAAGCGGCTCAGATGCTGTGCACATGTGAAGGATATTCCTTTAGCTAGAAATTATTAATGGACCGGTAGGTGGGAGACAGAGGCTCTCTTCCCTCCCGCAGAAGGGAGTGCGGCTCTGTTCAGGGCTGTGGGCCGTGCAGGGGGGCGGAGAGAGGAGTAAAACCCAGCCCCTTCCTGGAGGAGCCGCCCTCCGGGCTGGAGGAGAGAAGCCCAGGCCGTAAATAACTCCCAGGAGCTGTAGGAGTGACCAGGGTGGTGGTGTGGGGTCCGGGGGGTGGGGGAGACTACCTGGTGGGGGGCACGTACCTGGGCCCCCCCGGAGTGATCTGTGAGCTATGGTGCCCCTAGGTAGGGCCTGAGGAGTCTCTGGGACTTCGATGGGTGGGGGCAGTGGGGAGGAGGGGACGTCCAGGACGTCCAGAGAGGTCTGGAGTTGGGGGGTGGAGAGGGAACCACGAAGATAAGACAGGCAGGGACAGATTATGGGAGCTGGGGAGGGGCTATGAGGAAGGTGCTTGGATTAGCTGCAAGACAGGGCGATTGTGGCTAGGCCACCAGCAAACAGTCCTGAGGTCACTGGCCCTGCCCCGCCTGGGGCTGAGTTATCGATTAATTGGTGATTCAGAAGGGGGACCCCATCTTCTTTCTAGCATTTCTTGTTTGCAAGAAGCCTGGGCTCAGTGGCTCTCCTCAGCTGCTTCTGATTAGTTTTGTGAGACGTCAGCCACCTTCTACTGCGGGTGCCTGGCACTGTGCCAGCTGGTGGGACCCTCCAAGCGTCCAAGCCCTCCTTACCCACCACACCATTGCCAAAGGACACTAGGAGCGTCAGAGGCCAAGAATGAGCCTTGCTCCTAGAGCACTGTGGGGGACGCTGCTACCATTCCCACGCCACAGCAGGAATGCCGAGGCTCTGACAAGTGTGTGGCTTGCACGAGCCCCCATGTGGCATGTGGCCGGGGAGGGCCTGGAATAGATGGCTAGCTAAGCGCAACATCCATGCCGTCCCCACTGCACAGTTTGGGCCGCTGCAAAAATGGATACAACTCAGTGTCTGCCTTACAGGAGCTCCTCTCCTTGGAGGAGATGGACATGTAAAAATGCAAAGTGGACTTTGGGCTGTGTCCTAGGAGAGGGAGTGTGGGAGCCCAGAGGAGGAGCGCGGATAGTCCCATCTAAGGGAGGTGACTTTGGGCCGGGCTTCAAAGGGTAGGTAGGATTTCGATGGCCAAGGATGGAATGCAAAGCAGGCATCTCGGCAGGAGGAACAGCAGGGACGAAAGCAGAGAGGCAGAACAGTGCCCAGTGGGGAAACAGAGAAACCAGGAGTTATAGGAACCCGCTTGTAAATCCTCAGACTCTGTTCCAAGAGCTTTCGTCACTTAAGTTTGATAATACTCTCATGAGGTAGGTGATATTCTTACCACTAGCATTTTACAAATGAGGAAACTAAAGAACAGAGGTTCAATTACTGGTCCAAGGTCATACAGCTAGTGAATGGTGGCTGTGGGATCAGAATCCAGGCAGATGGGCTCCATTCAACCAAACCCCTTGACAGTGGTTAAACTCTTGCTGGAGCTGAAGATATAGCTGGAGACAGGAGTGGAGTTTAAGCATAACAACTGTGTGTGTGTGTGTGTGTGTGTGTGTATGGCCTTGTTACATGCCAAGCACTGTTCTGAGAGAGAGAGAGAGCGAGAGTGCACAAATGGAGGTGGGAGGAGAAGAGGGAGAAGCAGACTCCCCACTGAGCAGGGAGCCCGATGCGGGGCTCAATCCCAGGACCCTGGGATCATGACCTGAGCCGAAGGCAGACGCTTAACTGACTGAGCCACCCAGGCGCCCCTGTTCTGAGCACTTTATGTATATTGTTTCATTTGAATCTCTTGACCAGCATGGGAGGTGGGTTCTGCTGTCACCCCCGTTGAACAGAGCAGGAGATGGAGGCGTGAGGGGCCCCTAACTCACAGGGTGTCACAGTTAGTAGGCAGCAGAGGCAGGATGTGGAGTTAGGGGGTCTGGTTCCGTGGCTTCTTGGTCGCAGGGGGCCATGGGACAGTTGGAAATAGGGAAGTGTACAGTGGGGCCAGGAGGCTGGGGGCTCACCCAGGAGACTCAGCTGTCCCAGCGCTGTCCCTGGGGGTCCTGCTGCCCTGGGCTTCAGAAAGCAGCTGAAGGTGAAAGGGGCATCTGACACAGAAACTGAAACCAGATGTGGCTCGGTGGCGCAGAATGCCCACCTGTTGGGAACCTGGGCCTCAGCCTGAGCTTTGCCAGTCCATAAGCCACGAGCCATGCCCCAGGCAAATCAGGAGCTTCTGCCTCTCTGAGTCTCAGTTCCCTCATCTCTAAAATGGGACTGAAAGAGCTCTAGCCTGGGATCTGGGATGCCTGGGTTCTGGTTTGGCTCTGCCTGATTGGCTGTGTACATGTCTGGGCAAGCCTTGCCCTTCTCCAGGCCTCGGTGTCCCCACTCGCACAATGAGATGGGGACACTGAGGCCCAGCAAGGACCAGTGACTTGCCCAAGGTCTCACGTTGGTTGAGTGACTGAGCTGGAGCTGAAACCCAGGTGTCTGGCCCCGAGCCACTCCCAGGAGAACCCTCGACTCCCAGATGAGAGAGACCTTGACCACCACAGTGGTATCCTTGGCACAGGCCTTGCTTGTGAACTCTGTTCCCTTCTGTCCTTTCTTCTACCCTCTCCCCCATGTCCCCATCCCCTGATAAACCAAAATGTTTTCAATTAGGGGTCTGCTGCAGCGAGGTAAGCCAGAGGAGATGTCCAGACGGGTAACTCCCCCGCCTCCTGCCCTAATCCTTGATTACCTCCCCAAGGGGGACTTAGTTAGAAACGGTCATTACCTCTAATTACCAGATGACCACATTGCCCTCCACAGGGGTGGACTCCGCTGCCCCCTGCTTCCAGATCTCCCAGCCTGCGTGCTGCGGCTGGCCGCTCCATCTGCCCTACTCTCTCCAGCAGTTCCTCGCCCACCAAGGCTCTCCAGGATGCTTCCTCTCTGTCCTCTGCCCTCCTTGGCGGTCCAAGCCTCATCTTGGGGTGGGGGGTTCCTCACTGGGGTTTCCCCTAGCACCTCTTCTTACCCCCAGCTGGGGAGGTGGAGGCTGGGTGACTTCAGAGTGGGACAGACGGATACCCAGAGTGGCCCAGGTCCCCAGGCCAGGAGCACAGAGCACCCCCAACTTTGGGGCCAAAGCACGTGGCACTGAGGAATTGGCAGCCCTGAGCTCCCCTGGAAAAGCCTGGGTCTTCATTATCCACTGCTGGGCTGGAGCAGGAACCCAGGGCAAGGACTCGGAAGGCAGCCTCACTGCCTGAGTGCCCACGGCGTGCTCCCCGGGGCTGTGCCAGGGATTTTCTCGAATATCTCCTATCACCCTTCCCACTGTGAAACAGAAAACTGGCACGGAGGGGAAGGAAGAAAGTTGGGCCAGGGTGAAGGGCAGAGCGGGCTCCGGACAGGCTGAGTGTGGGCAGCCCCCAGCCCAGCAGAGAGGGGGCCCAGGAAGGAGAGGCCAGGTCTGTGGGAGGATGGCGCCAGTTGAAGGCGGGGCATCCGGGCCCCGGAGCGCCCCTGTGCAAAGGGCAGGGGGTAGTCATCTCCCAGGCTGACCCCTCTGTGAGCATGGGATGGGCCGTGAAGCAAGAGGCTCTGCCAGCGGGCGGGTGCCCTGCCTCCGTGGGGTAGTGCATCTGCGTGTGTGGGTAGTGTTCACTGGGTGCAGGTGGGGGCCTGTACCAACTAGGAAACAGGCTGCAGGGATGGCATCTGCCTCTCTGTGGCCACACCTCACCCAGTCTAGGCTGCAGGAATCCAGACCAGAGATTCCCTGAGGGGTCCTGGCCTAGACAGGCCCCCAGGGCTCAGAGGGCCAGGGAGGAGCGGATGGCTCAGTGTAGGTCAAGAAACCATGCCTAAGCTCTGCATCCAAATACACCAGACATTTCCTTGCTCATAGTTTGGAGGGTAGGGACGGGCCGGAGGTAGCAGTGAGGAGAGGGGACCCTATATAGCCATGATTGATCTGAGGCTGGGTCGTCCCAGCTGGACTGCAGACATCAGGCTGGGCCCACTTGTCCTGGGTCTGCTTTCTCTACTTTGGAGTCATAGGTTGGGTGGGGCATATGACGGAGAGTGAGAGGCAGGGGCAACCTGACTTATTAGGACTTAATGTAGTTCCTAGTATCCCTCTCAGCCCCTCCAAGACCTCTAGGAGTTCCCGTTTTATAGGTGATGCTCGGAGAGGTGCAGCAATTTGCCCAAGATGAACAGCACATAGAGGGCAGAGCTGGCACTAGAACCCAGGTCTTTTGACTCTCTCTGGTCCAGGATTCACCCGGCAATAAGCAGAGGCAATCCCATGTATGAATGTTCCAGATGTTTTATATGCATTATCTTATTAAAGTCTTGCCCTCACCTTTTGAAGTGGGAATTATCATTTTCCTATAACAGATGAGGACCATGAGGCCCAGAGAGGTTGGGTAACTTACCCGTGTCACACAGCTGTGCCCTAAGCCTGGGCTCTTCCCTGGGCCAGCCCACGAGCTGGAACATCTGGATCATTGCCTTATAACTGTGGATGGGTCCGTGTAGCCATTAGACTCAGGGCTCCTTGAGGAAAGGACCTGTGTCGTGTTCATTACCAAATGAGTTCAGGAAGAGTTGGTGCTTAGTAAATATTTCTTCCACAAGTAGATCAAGTTCATTTATTCCTTTAGGTACAGGAGCAAGGGGAAAGGTATTCCTGGGCAAAGGCATGGTGGTAGGGCAGTCCCCCATCAGAGGAGCCAGGAGTCTGGTATGGCCAGATGTTAGAGCACACCAGGGCCAAGGACGAGACACTGGAGAGGTCTGGGGGACCTTGACTAAGTGGGCGCAGGTAGGAAAAGACCACCGGGTCAGTGACTGTAGTAGCTTCCCTCCCTGAGCACAGACCGGGTGTGTCAGCCCTGGGCAGAGCACACGAGGCCCACCGAGTTACTCCCCCAGGTAGTGCTGAGAGGTTGCTGGCCTAGGAGAGGCCAAGTGACTCGGGAGACTCACAAGGGAGAATGACAGACCCGGGAGTCTACCCCAGCCTGTGCTGTTCTTTAGCACGTTGCTATGTCCCTTGGGAATCTCAGGTGGGGGGGTTCTGGGATCTTGGCCTCACTAGGTCTTAGCCCTGACCCTGGGTGAGGACTGTGGTGGTGCTCACAGCAAGCGGGGTGGGGGTGGGGGGGCAGCACTGTGGCTGCAGTTTGGCCCATCCCCCCCTCCCCCGCCCTGCTTCCTCTAGAGTTTCTGCAGGCCTGCTGAGGGCCAGCTGGGTCTGGGGCAGGGGATGAGTCTATGCAGAACCCTTTAAGGCTCTTGGGGTCCCTGTAGCCTGCACTTAGATTAGAAGCTGCCTGATGCAGCCTGCTCCTTGGAGAAGGCCCTGGGAGAAACGTGCGTCCAGGATGTACGGCTGGTCCTGGAGCCTTGCAACCCCAGTACCTAGAGCCAGGATCTGGGAAGCTCCTCGGTTCTATAATGTCACCAGGGTTCATAGAGACCCCCAGACCAACATTTCCCAAAGCATGGATGAGGTCAGCGTTTCTCAAACAAAGGGCTTTGTGCTTAGCCACCTCCCGAGTTAAACAAAACCAAGCCTCTTGCTTTGCTGTGGGACTTCTCAGGCAGGGCCTTTAAAATGTGAATGTGCTTCAATTACTCTCCAAAGGGGGACAGAGTATATCAGGTTCCCCCAAATGTGCTTATGCATAGATCCCGTTTTTCAGAGTATCTCACTGGAACCGATTCTGGGAAATAGGGTTTACAGGTACAGACCCTGAAGCCCAGAAGAGGACAGTGATTTATCTAAGGGCACACAGCAAGTTCATGGCCAAGTCTGATTTATCACAAAATTGAGTGGCTCCTTAATCCTTTAATAAATTCTTTGCATGTGTGTGGGATTTTACAGCCCAATAAATGACTTTAGTAATTACATGAAGGGATGTATGGCAAGCTCCTAACTCATACTGTGCATCCTAGTAAGTGCTCAGGTAATGGTCTGGATTCTGAGGTGACTGTAATAATCTAGCATGTAGCGCGGTGTCCGGCACATACAGGGGCTCGGCGTTGACTGCTGAGTAAGGCGTCGCAACTCACAGCTGTGTGAGAACTAAACAAGGAAGCAGGTGTGAGTGCTTTGTGAGCTGTAAAACTGTTTATTGTTAGGCTAATGACAGTGAAGCTTAGGTGGGATGGAGGTCATGATCCTGCATTATGAATGAGGGCCTGGCCCAGAGAGGGACAGTGCCGTGCCCAAGGTCACAGGGAGCTGGAGGGTCTTAGTTTAGTGCGTCTTAGCTTCCCAACTCCTTCCAGCAAAGGCCCCCACGCCCACTGAGGGAAGGCTGGGACCAGAGGGGCAGGTGCGACGTGGCCCCTCACGCTGTCTTTCCTTCCATTGGTTGTTGCCCTCCGGTGGTGTGCAGGGCGCTGTCCAAGACCCCGGCGGCCCTTGCGCTGAACCAGACGCAGCACTGCAAGCAGCTGGAGGGGCTGGTGTCTGCGCAGGTGCAGCTCTGCCGCAGCAACCTGGAGCTCATGCGCACCGTCGTGCACGCCGCCCGCGAGGTCACGAAGGCCTGCCGCAGGGCCTTTGCGGACATGCGCTGGAACTGCTCCTCCATCGAGCTTGCCCCCAACTACCTGCTTGACCTGGAGAGAGGTAGGGAGCCGGCGGGGGCTGCCAGGGCCTGCGGAATGCGTGCAGGTGGGGATGGATGAATTCAGGCGTACATATATGTGTGTTTGGATAGGTGGGTGAATTCATGGCTGGCTGGCTGGATGTTGATGGCTGTGCGATGGGTGGCCGAGTGACTAGGTGGGGGATGGACGGGTGCACAGGGAAGAAGACAGGTGTGGATGGATGGGTGGCTGAAGTAATCACAGACGTGGGTATCCAGGCCTGAACTGATGAGTGAGTGAGCACATAGTGAGTGAATATACCAGTGTAGGGGGAGCACAAATGCATGTGTACCCTGATGCATGAAGCAAGGGTGGATGCAGCCCAGGAGGCTCTTGGGAGGGGAGGTGGTAATACGAGGGCGGGAGAGCCCCCTCCTCGGGCAGACAGGTGGGCACAGGTCATTCTAGACCGAGGTGACCTCAGAGCTGTGAGATGCACAGCGGGAGGTAGCGGCCCCACTGTCCGGAGCAGGTGCCTTCCGGGGTGGGTTTGGGGGTTTCTGATGGGCAGAAGGGCCCCAGTGGGTCTAATCTCTCCCCTGCACGGTAACAGCTAAGGTTTGTGGAGCACTTGACAAAGCTTCCTTCCTTCCCAAATTATTTGAACTCTAGAGGAAGCCTGTGAGGTAGGTATTATCATTCCCATTCTGTAGTTAAGCAAACCGAGGCTTGAGAAGGGGAGGGGACCCTACAGCAGAGGCACGTTGGGCTCCAGATTGGTTTCCCGAGGCTGCTGTGACAAAGCCCCACAAACAGGGGCTTCAAACAACAAAACTGGATCTTCCCATAGTTTCAGGCTAGAAGTCTGAAATCAAGGGGCCGGCAGGGCTGTGCCCCCTCCGATGACCGCGGGGGGGATCCTGCCTTGCCTCTTCTTAACTTGCGGTGGCAGCCAGCAGCCTTGGTGTTCCTTTGCTTGTCGTTGCATTGCTTTAGTCCCTGCTTCTGTCCCGTGGGGCGCCCCCCCCCCACGTGTCTCTGTATCCACGATTCCCCCTTCCTGTAAGGGCACCAGTCATTGGATTCGGGCCCACTGTGATCCAGGATGCCCTCACCTTAGTTCCATCACACCTGTCAAGACCTTGTTTCTAAATAAGGTCATGTTCACAGGTACCAGGGGTCAGCACTTGACCCTATCTTTTTGGGGGACAAATTTCAACCTACAGCTGGCTTTTTGCACACTCATGTGCCCCTCGGGGACAAGTTCTCTGAAGAGTAGCCCCTAACACTGAGCGCAGGGAAGCAGGGGCAGATCCAGCATCGTGAGTGTGTGGGAGCAAGGGTGCCTGTGGGTGTGCGGGCTTTGTGGGCCTCTGGATGTGGGGGTGAGTTTGCGAGTGAGTGTCCAAGTCCGCTAATGTATGTGTGGGAGAATGGGTGAGCGACAGATTAATGTCCCTAGTGCTGTCCTCCCCCTGGTTGCAGCCCCTGTCCCCTGCCGGCCCCACCGAGGCAGGCAGGGGCTCAGGAGGAGGCCCTCAGGCCCAGGTGGGGTCCTGTCCCAGGGTCACCCGCGCCAGCTGACCCGGCACCTCCCCACAGGGACCCGGGAGTCAGCCTTCGTGTATGCGCTGTCGGCGGCCGCCATCAGCCACGCCATCGCCCGGGCCTGCACCTCCGGCGACCTGCCCGGCTGCTCCTGCGGCCCTGTCCCAGGTGAGCCACCCGGGCCCGGGAACCGCTGGGGAGGATGTGCGGACAACCTCAGCTACGGGCTCCTCATGGGGGCCAAGTTTTCCGATGCTCCTATGAAGGTGAAAAAAACAGGATCCCAAGCCAATAAACTGATGCGTCTACACAACAGTGAAGTGGGGAGACAGGTAACCACCCACCCCCCCCACCCCAGATGGTTGTGCTTGTGCCAGTCGGCCAGGAAAGGGCCACCAGTGTGCCTTGATGGAGTGGGGGGCGGGCGGCGGGCCCTGATCCACCCACACCCATGTGCTCCCGGCCCCCCCTTGGCGCTCCCCTTTCCAGCTGCTTGGGGCTTGCCAGGCTCCTCCTCCTCTAGGGGGTCCACCAGGATTTCAAGTGAAAGTGTTGGGTGGAGCAGAAGGAACACTGGGCTAGGAGTCAGGAGCTCCGAGTTCCCGCCTTGGCTCTGGCACTAAACTGGCTGGGTGATGTTGGGCAAGTCACTTCCTCTCTGGCCTCAGTTGTTTCCAACTATAAAATGGCCTGGCTGGGTGCGCTCTAGTCCCCGTTGGCCGTGTTCCTCAGGCTCCTCCCGTGGGGCCTCCGGCTGAGGCTGGGGTGTGGGAGGAGGCGTGGGGAGGGCTGTGGGGCAAGAGCCTTAGCCTCTGGGGTTGTCTCCTTGGCCCGAACGGGGATTCCCACCCAGCTCCAGACTCAGACGGCCCTCAACATCTGTTACTCCCCGTGTCTCATTAATTACTCACCTCATTCCACAGAAGGTTGGGATGAATGCATAAGTGAATGAATGGACCTTTTTATTTTTAGAAAATTAAAAAAGAAAAAAACGCTTTATACCAATCTGAGCACTGTGAGCGCTGCGGTGGTGCCTGATGAGTTTTCTGTCTGGTGGTCCACAAACCCCCCTGTGAGGAGGGGCTGCTACCCCCTTACACACGGGGAGCGGGGGGCCTGAGGGGCGGAGCGTCAGGTGCAGATGGTGTCTCACGGTTTCCTGCAGGCCCAGCAGGCCCATTGTGCAGAGGCAGCAAGGGGGGCAGAGAGAGCTTAGGTGGCTTGGCCAAGGATGCAGCCCAGGTGCGATGGAGCCCAGGTCTGTGGGACTCCCAAGTCCAGAGGTTTCCACGTCCTCACCTTCCTCTCTCACTGGTCTCCCTCATGGGAGGATTCTAGGACGTCCAGGCCACGTTTGGACAGTTGGGGAAACTGAGGCCAAGAGACACTAGGGGCCTGCGGCGGTAGTTACCTGTCCTTGATGAGTCAAAAGTACCTTGATGCCCCTGGGAGGTCGAATGTGCCCTGCAGGTGGGCTCGCCTCAATTCCTGTGCTCTTCACAGGCTTTGCTGAGCCAATTCCAGAGTCTAGACCCAGTGGACTCCCTCCTGCCCCACTTCCTGGCACCAGTGAAGGAGAGGAGCCCTGGGACCTTGCCAGCTCCTGCACTAACTCACCGAATGACTTTGGGCAAGTCTCTGCCCTCTCTACGCCTCAGTTTCCCCATGGTTCTAATGCAGGGGCAGGCCCAGGGGACCCACAAACCTTGCAGCTCCGCACAGGAGGGCTGGCCTGGGCAGAGCGATCCGAGTCTTGTGTGCCAAGAAGCAAGGGTGAAAACGCAAAACTTCACTGCCTGCAGAAGACATTTATCTAACTCATGCCCCTCAGGTACACCTGGGGAAACTGAGGCCTGAGGAAGATGATGGGACAGAGTCATTTCAGAAGCCGGGACTAGAGTCTCCCCAAGCTGCGGAGCCCAAGCCTCCCGGCTCCACCACAGTCGGTGGCTGACCGTTCACTGATTTTTCAAACCAGTGTTGATTTGATTTTTAGAGTTCACAGAACCCTTTCATCTGCAACCATTCTGCAAGGTAGCAGTTCCGTGCCTGCCCTGCACAGAGTAGGACAGAGCTGCTGACCGGTGGGGGGGTGGGGGCTGCTGGGGGCCACCAGGCAGTGGAGGGGAAGGGCCAGCCAGGCCAGGGCATACACCCCCACGCGCTTACCTCCTGCCTCTTTCCCCTCCTCCCCCCTCATTTCTCTCCTTCCTTCTCTTTTTTCCCTTTCTTCCAACAAGCATTCAGTGAGCCCCAGTTTTATGCAAGAGAAAAGCGTGGAACAAGTAAAAGCCATGGCTTTGGGAATTGCCTTCAGACCTGAGTTCAGATCCCGGCTTCAGGATTTTCTAGCTGTGCAACCTTGAGCTTGCGACTTGGCCTCCCGGAGCCTTTGTTTCCTCTTTTGAAACTGGGGAAAGTAACGATACCTCCCGTGAAGGACTGTTATGATGATTAAGCCATATTATGTTTTCGGGCACTTGACATCTGTTACCCCTGCAAATGCCACTCCCTTCCTGTCCCTGCCAGCCACCCCCAGGCTAGGGAAGGAGCCGAGAACCTGCAACAGTCCCCAGCTTTAGAGCCAAAAGCTCCCTCACCTGAGGCCCAGAGTAGGCGATGACTCCCTGAGAGCACCCAGCATGTGTGGGGGTGGGGCAGGGTCCCCGGGCAGGCCAGGGAGAGGGCTCTGGCCACCCAGCCCAATGCCCTCCCCTGTCTGCAGGCTCTGCGCGCCTCTCTGGAAATGAAGTGTAAATGCCACGGGGTATCTGGGTCCTGCTCCATCCGCACCTGCTGGAAGGGGCTGCAGGAGCTTCGGGATGTGGCTGCTGACCTCAAGACCCGCTACCTGTCGGCCACCAAGGTAGTGCACCGACCCATGGGCACCCGCAAGCACCTGGTGCCCAAGGACCTGGATATCAGGCCTGTGAAGGACTCGGAGCTTGTCTATCTGCAGAGCTCACCCGACTTCTGCATGAAGAACGAGAAGGTGGGCTCCCATGGGACGCAAGACAGGTAAGGGCCTGCTGCCACCCTGGCAGGAAGGGGTCAGCTCTGCTGACAGGCCCCACGCCAGTGCAAGGCCAGGCACAGAGCCTTGCCTCAGCTGCCATTTGGGGGTTGGAGTCCCTTCCCGGTTGAAGGAGGTGTCCCCAGGAGTGCGGAGCAGAGGTGCCAGGGTCCGGGGGGCCCCCAGCAGAGCTCCTGGGAGGGGCCGCTGTGTACTTTGCCCAGGCAGGGGCCGCTGGGGAGTAGAGGCTGGTGGAGGACCCCTCCTTCCCCCTGGTGGGGGAGATAGGGAGAGACAGGACCACACTGGGAGGCTGGCAGGGACAGAAGCTGCCCCGCGGAAGACAGGTCCTCATTAAGTGTCAAATGAGGGAGTGAAGGGTCAGTGTCGTCTAAGCCGCTGGTTGGACAAATAAGGACCTGAGGCACAAGGGCTCAGTAGCCAGCCCACAGCCGCGCAGGGAGTCTGCACAGAGCCGGAGTCAGAGCCCGGGCGCCTGCTTTTCAGAGGGCCCCCAGGAGCGGGAGGCCTGCCTTGAGGACAGACAGTGTCCCATGTCCCCTGACAGGCACGCGCCCACCTCCCGGGCCCCAGCTCTCTCTCCCCTTGGTCCCCCGTTTCAGAGCCGGGGCTGGGGCCCCATCACTACCGCCAAAGCGGGCTCAGGACAGGAGAAAGAAAGGGAACCCAGGTGACTGCAGACCTACTGTGTGCCGGGCGGGGCTGGTGAGGATTCAGGGCAGCAGTATTTCCCAGAGATGGCTCTGGGGGAAGTCAGTCCTGAGATGCTATAATAGAGACAGTCCTGCAATCAAATGTGAGTGGGAAATTCTCTTTGGCGATTCACAAAGCATGAGAACATTTTAAAGGCTCGGAGGAATCCCACAGTAAAGGATCTGCCTAAGCCAACGTTTCCCAGAGGTGTTTGGCTGTGGAACTCTTTTATTAAGGAGCCCCTAATAGCATTCCACAAAACTAGTGTTCTGCGGGGTTAAAAGAATATTGAACCAGAGCGAGGGTGTCTGAGAACGTGTCTGGCACATAGTTGGTGCCTGGCCAGCATTTGCTTCCTCCGCAGCCCCCGTTCCTGTCTCCAAGAGAGGGGGGCTGGTTTGGGGGGGGCTCCATCTTCACAGGCCAGGGCAGTAGGCTCTGCGAGGAGGCCCTGGCTCCCATCTGGAGGCCAGATTGAGGGGGGTCGGGTGGAGTGAAGATGGAACCAGGTCAGGCCCGGGAGACAGGAAAGAGCGAGAGTCTGGTCTGAGGCAGCCAGGGTGGGTGTGATGAGGATGGGGTGGGGGCAGAAGGATTCTAGAACCCAGAGAGGCTAGGGAAAGCCCAGAGCACACAGAGGGCCTCCCCGGATCCATGGGAGGATGTGTACACGCGCGTGTGTGAGGGAAGGCTCGTTCCCACCCCGGCGCCACAGTTTCCTAGCTGTGGGACCTTTAGCGAATCCCTTCACGTCTCTGAGGCTCAGCCTCATCTTCTGTGCAATGCAGAGGGTACCGCACCCCTCAGAGGGGTGGCCAGCCAGCTCCAGTTACACTTACGGGGCAGCTCCTCTGTGCTATGTCAGTCCCATGGGAAGGGCTCATCAATGGTGCTCTCTCCTCCCCATCCCCGAGGCTGCCAGGCCTCTGCTTTCCCAGGGCCCCCCGCTCTGCTTGCTGACCAGGAGGCCCCATCCTGCAGCACCAGCTGCCTCCCTTGCTTTCTCTGAATGCCTCCTTCCCACTTGCCACCAGGTTGCCTGCCACGCTCAGCTCTCAGCCATTCCTCTGAAGATGGGCTTTTGCAGACATCTGTGTGGGTCAGCTTTTCCTGCAGTAACAAACAGCTCCAAGATCTCAGTAGCTTACAACCACAGACTCTTTCCCGTCTATTTATTACGTGAAGCTCTGGCAGGCATAGGGAAGGGGGAGAGACAAGTGGTTGGATTGTGACAGAGGAAAGCCCAAGGGTGAGTGAGGGGAGTCTTGAGGTGCCCCGACTCAGCCTGGACATCGAGGAAGGCTTCCTGGAGGAGGGGGAAACGTGAGCTTTACTAGGTGAGGAGATTTGGAAGTACAAGGGGCTGGAGGTAAATGAGCTTCGTTAACTGTAAGAAGCATGTGCTCAGGTGGCACCTCTCTAGAGGCTGGCCCCCTAGCTGGGGACAGTGCCCTGCGGCCCTCCTCACATCCAGCTTGGTGACCTGAGGCCTCAGCAGCAGTCAGCATCCCAAACCCCAGCCCTCTTGTCATGGTTCTTTCAGCGGCCCCTGCACTGATGAAACCTTCCCTGGGCCCCTGGCTCTTTCTCCAAGTCCCACTCTCCTCAGTGCCTCCCCCGCCCCAGCCCCCTGCAGATCTTGTCTGGTTCTGGGGTTGGAGGCCAGGTTTCAGACACTGCATGTCAGGGATCTAGAAATAAAAATGAAACTCTTCCCTCTTCCACCCTTTCCTGGAGGAGTCATCCGGACACCTCCAGGATATGGCTGAGGGGCACGAATGGTGTTAGGTGACTAAACAAAGTCACCTTTGTTAAGTGGCTTGCCTTGATTCACACGGCCAGTAAGTGGCAGTGCTGGGGCTTGAACCCAGGTCTGTCTGCCTCTTGGGGCATGTGTTCTTCCGCTGTTCCTTCCTGCCTGGAACTGTTGGCAGCCCTGACCTGCAGGCCACGGTCACCTCCTGACTCTCCTTCCGGGCACCCCCGCCCCCCCGCTTCCCACCCCACGGCCTCCTCCCAGACCTGGTCTCAGCCTCTCTTTCTCTGGCCTCCCTACTTCCAGCCCTACCCCTTCCATCTGTCTGTTCTCGACTCTTAGATTAGGTCCGGTCCTGTGCCCTGTCTTCTCCCACAGGAGTGTGATTCGGAAAGAAATGCAGCCCCTGGAAGCCTCTGGGTTGTCTGCCGTTAGGGTAGGGAGAGCGTGTGCTAGACTTGGTTTCAGGACCACTGAGCTTCAGCCCTGCTTGCCCACAGACTCCTGTGAGAACTTGAGCAGGCCTCTGCCCTTTGCTGAGCCCATTGCCATCTGTACAGTGGGCATAATAATCCCACTGACCCAAAGACCCTGCGTGCCTCCTAGAAGATAAAATACTGGTGGGAAGCGCCTGGCACATAGGGGCAAATGGTTGATAGAGGCTGTCTCTCAACGAACAGAGCGCCCCATACTCACTTTGCCTCGCCTCTAGCGCCGTTTTGTCTATTCCAAAATTATCCTGGGATTCTCAATGTAAAAACGATCTTTACATTTGTTACAATATAATTCAAGAACGGATATGAAGACGGGATCATTAGAGTGGTTTGAGGCTCCTTCCTGTATTTAGAAGTAGAAGGAATAGAAAAAAAAAAAAGACACCTCCAAGAAAACAAGCCACTCCCGTCATTTTGATACATGCCTATTAGAAATCTGGGGGAAAGTGAGAAGTACCCTCAGGGAAAGGGATTATTTACAATTCCCCCAAGACCAAGACACCTTCCAAGAGGAGCTGTGGGGGCAGCCCGAGGGCAGCGGGAGGCTGCGGGCCCCGAGTGGGGGGAGCGGGCCCTCCCTGACCGCCCCTTGCCCTCCCCCCACCCCCCAGGCAGTGCAACAAGACGTCCCACGGCAGCGACAGCTGTGACCTCATGTGCTGCGGCCGCGGCTACAACCCCTACACGGACCGCGTGGTCGAGCGCTGCCACTGCAAGTACCACTGGTGTTGCTACGTCACGTGCCGCCGCTGCGAGCGCACGGTAGAGCGCTATGTCTGCAAGTGACGCCGCCCCGCCGGGACCCTCGGAGCCCCGCCCCCACCAGGGGCCCAGACACACCCCGGGGATGGTCGCTTGGGGATCCCAGATGCCAGGCGTGGGAGGTGGCTTGTGCTTGGCCTCCACTTGGAAGCTGCCGGGGACAGAAGGCCTGGCCACCCTGGAAGGAGGGCCGGGACATCAAAGGAAACCGACAAGATTAAAAATAACCTGGCAGCCGGAGCCCGGGAGGGCCCACTCGCCGCCTTCCAGGCCGCTCTGAGAAGCCAGGGGCCTGGGGTTGGCAGGACTGGTACGGACTTGACCTTTCACGGCCAGAGACGCCAACCTCCCGGGAAGGGAGTGGCGGGGTCTGCCTGCCCTCATCAGAATGTTCTGCAGGCCCTGCCCTTGAGACCCCCACGGCTGCCCCCAGGGTCTGAGCCTGCTGGGCCCACCACATGGAACCACTAGCTTGGGTTGTAAATGTTTTTTTTGTTGTTGTTGTTTCGTTTTGTTTCTTCCTTTGGGATGTGGGAGCTACAGAAATATTTATAAAACATAGCTTTTCTTTGGGGTGGCTTGCCTCAGTTCCTCTTTATATATTTTATATATATATAAAAATAAATATATATAATGATCTCTATTTTAAACAAGTTTTTTAAACAGCTGTATGAAATAAACGGTGAGAGAACCCCAGCCCGCCCCTCAGGTCTGTGGCCTCCTCAAGTGAACTCGGAAGGTCCCAGGGCTGGGTGAACTCTCGGGTTTCCAGGCAAGGCGGCTTCCGATTGATGTCCCTAGCCCCCCAGCTCCGGCCCTGATCTCCCCGTAAGATCTCTTGGTCAAGGGCGAGGACAGACGTCTTGAAACATAAACCCAGCTGGCAGATTCTTTGTTCCTCAGGGACATACACGCAGGCGGGCGCGCATAGCCTGGCTGTGTCGTCAGACCTGCTAAGCTAGCTTCCAGAGAAAACCTACTCCAGGGAGCCGGGGACACAGACCTCAGGGAGGTAGTGGCAGACCCAGGCTCCTGTCAGCCCTCGTGGGTGTTCCGTGTGACTGTGGGCGAGGTTCCCCCCCCCGCCCACCCTCTGTGCCTCAGTTTCCCCATTTGTAAAAGGGGGATGGCGAAGATTAAGGTTGGTGGTTGGGAAAGCCCCCCCCCCACCCCCACCTCTGCCTGGGCCAGGCTGGCTGCCCTGGGTGTGGTGAGAAGTGCCTCGATTCCTGTTCTGTGTCAAAGGTGGAGCCATGGGGATTTGCTCTCTTTATGGCTGTGGAGTGTGGGACAAGGAGGGTCAAGAAGGTCGCAAGCATTTGCCCGGCGTACCTCGAAGTCCTGAGACGGGGATGGAGAGAGGGCTGGTGCTCAGACTTGGCCACGTGGGGACTGTGAAGTCGATTCGGTCCCAAGTGGCACTGGTGGGGAGAGGCTGAGATGCACATTTAGGCATCATCACTAAGGGGGGTGGGGTAGAATAGCAAAGAGGACCAAGGCCAGGGTCTGGGGCATCTTTGCTTCGGAGGTCAGGGAGATGGAGGGGGAAAGAGGCAAAGGCGCTGAGAAGTAGCAGCCAGGGAGCTGGGAGGGTCTCCGTGTGGTCAGCTCTGCCCTCTCTGAGCTTCCGCTTCCTCTCCTGAGTGGGTGGTGGGTGGTGCTGTTGGGCAAGTAGAGGGTATCCTCGGCGCCTGGCCCTCGGCAGGTCCCCCCAGATAGAAGCAGTTAGTGAATCACACATGTTCTGGCCATGGGGTGACCCCACAAGTCCAAGGATGTAAGAGAAGGGAGTAACCAGAATTTCTGTGTGGGGGGGAGGAGATGCGAACACGGGGGAGGGCTCTCCACTGCCCAGAGCTAGCTAAGGCACCCCCTGGAGGGGTTGGGGCAGAGCAGGGCCTCGGAGCCCGGGCAGGATTTGGTGAAGTGAAGCAGGCACCTGGGGGTGGGACGTCATGGACATCCACCCCTGCCCCCACCAGAGGCTGGTCTGATCACTGAGGGGAAGAGAGAGGGCTGTGTGGCCACCCTCCAAGTCCCTGCCTGGGAGCTTGCCTCAGGGTGGCCAGAGTCACGGAATCACAGGCTGGAAGGAACCTCAAGATAAGTCTTCTGGTCTCCCAATCTGTTTTGCAGATGAGGAAATTCCGAGATGGGAAGGGCCTTTCCTGTGGTTACAGAGCTGATAAGGCTGGTGGTGGGGTTGCAGGGCATCCCAGGGAGAGGCTCTTGCTAGCATCTCTGCAGAAAACTCAGTCTGCATTGAACAGGCCCTGGAGTGTGCTGTCTTCCGGGCCCAGGGCTGCCCCTGCTCCACACGGCCCACAAAACCAGTCCCCAGTTCCCTGGCCCGGCATCCAAGGCCTCTCCCCCAGGTCATAGGTCACTCTTCCAGGGACATTTCCTGCAATTGCCCAGGCATCCCCTCTGCTCCAGCCACAAGCAGACCATGCATGCACTCATGGAAACAGAAACCTGACTGCTAGGCCTGCCTCTGGCTATCTGCTGTGTTTCACAGGCCTGGAATGGAACTTTCCCTGTTGGAGTCCTGTTCAGCTGTCATGGCCATCTCTAGCAAGCCTTCGCTAGCGACCCGGGTGGGAGGGATCTCTCCCTCCTCGGGCTCCCTGCAACCCTTTGAACCATTAAGGCAGCCATCACACTCTTGCTCTCTGTGGCCAGCCACTGTCCAATCTTCCTTCAAGGCCCAGCTGACTGGTCCTCTCCTCCGGGAAGCCTTCCCTGACCACCCTCCACCTGGGCCTCCTCCGGGTTCCCACAGCCATTGTGCTCCTCTGGGACATTGCATTGAACCAGGTTGTAGTACAGGTCTGTGTTGTGTCTGTATCTGCCTCCCCCACCCATCTGGAGCCTCCTCGGGAGCTAGGACCAGCCCAGTGCACCTGTGGGGCCCTGGGATCTGGGAGTGGCACACCTGGGGCTGAGCTCATGCCTCAGAAATGTTGGATTTCGGGGTGTTCTTTGGACCTTAACCAGAACAAGCAAATGAAAAAATCGGACCAAGGACCCAGAGTGATTCTCAAAAAGGGTGATCACAAACCTCAGGGCTTTGCAGAGGAGGTGGCTTGCCCCAGATCTCACAGTAGGTCCACTGTGGTGCGGTCTGGGGGCCCAGGTGTGTCTGCCACCAGACCCTGCGCTCTTCTCACGAGTCCTCACTCCGGCCAGGTGCGGGAAGAGCGGCATAAAAGGCAGAAGACTCTTCCCGGCTCAGGACAGGAGACCCACCTGGGCCCCCGACTCAGTGGGCCTTATACACTTGCCACTTGCCAGTGCCCAGGCCCTGCACCCCTCTGGCTGGTCAGGGGCTGGGCAATCAAGAGGGGTTGGGGGGCTGGTGTCTGCGCTGTTCCTCCCTGGCCAGGTCAGGGTTCGAAGCATGCAGCCAGGCTGAGCCTCCACCCAGGTGAGACAGGGGTGGGGCCTCCAGTGTGAATCCCAGAACCTCAGAGCTCTAGGACCTCAGGATCTCATTGTGTGCAGAGATTTCAAGCCATAAAATCTTGGTACCTTGGACTTTTGGAGTAGAAATCTTCAAACCATTGCCTTGGAAGCACTGTAGAGGCCCCTGAACCAATAGCCAGCCCTGAAAATATAGAAGGCGCAGGTATGGCCCTGTGGGTGTCAGAATGCGGGCCACCGGCAGGATTGCCATGCTCCACCTCCCTCCTGCCTAAGAGAAGCGCAGGCCCAGACTGGGCTCTGTGAAGCCCAGAAGGCCCGCGAGAGAGCGTGACTCCCCAAGGATGACAGGACCAGCTGCTCCGAGGAGGCTTCTGAACCGAGTGTGGGAGGCCGGCTGGAGACATGGGAGAGACGGGGCCTGAGGAGCGAGACAAGAAGGCGGCAGAGAGGAAACAGGAACTCCTGAAAAGAGGGAGAGATTAGGTTGGTGGGAAAGGAGAGAATGGACAGATAAGGGCCCCTGGGGAGGCCAGGTCAGGCCAGAGAAACAACCAAGGGGGGCCCGGGCGCAGCCCTGAGCAGGCTCATGGTCTGTCGCTCCTCAGGTCATGGTGACCAGCTGCCAGGTTACAGGGAGCAGGCCTCCAGCAGGATGCAGGCTCCTGCCCGGGACCCCGGACCAAGGGAGGCTGAATGGGGTAGGGGGAGTTTGGGGCTGGGAGGCAGAAATCCCGGCATGTTTTCCACTCTCTTGCTGTGTGACCCCAGGCAGGCACTGGCCCTCTCTGGGCCTCTGCAACAGTTGCCTCATTTAATTCTCACGATTTTGAGAGGTAGAGCCCAGTATCTCTATTTATTGATGAGGAAACTGAGGCCCAGGGAGAGAAGCAAGTAGCCCAAGGTTATAGAGCCGTAAGGGGCAGGGCAAGGATTCAAGCCCCAGACTCCCTGGCTGCAAGTCTGTGATGGGTGTCCGAGGGATGGAGGTGGCCTCTGGCTGAATGGCTATTGACCATGAACCGGAGTAGCCAGACGGGGCTTCGCACGGGAGGGAGAGGAGAGACGAAGCAGTTTTTAATAGGTGTCACAGGGCCTGGAGAAGGCAGTCCAGAGAAAACCCACCTCTCTCAAAGTGTCGGGGATAGGGAATAGAAAGTGTGGAAGACTTCATGGAGGAAGTGCCATTTGCACTGGGTCTGGAAAGCTGAGGAGGATTTCAAGAGATAGAGGAAGAGGCAAAGGGGAGGGGTCTGCATGAGCAAAGACATGGTGCCCGGTTTGCTGGGAGGAGGCCAAGAAGTGGGGTGTGGCTGGAGCTCAGGGGTCTGTGGGCACCAGGCCGCCTCGGGCCCCAGGCTAGTACATTAGAGCCAGGGTGTCCGAGACCACCCCCACCAGGGTGCTAGCCACAGGCCGGCCCAGCCACCGCCTGCCCGCCAGGTCCCCTGGCCACCCGCAGAGATGGCTGGCTTCAGGCAGAGCGATTTCACAGCAGCCCGTTTAACGCGTCCCTTTGCTCCCATAGACCAAATCAATATCCGCTCGGCTCCCCGGGCCTATGGCTGCTGAAGACATTCTCCTCATCGGCCCCTCGGTCC